ATTGACATGCCTCACTCAGGCATGTCCGGATCTGGCCAGGATCCGGGCATGTCTGAGGAATTTCTGTTTTTCTCTACATTTGGGATTTATAGTTACTTCCTATTGTTTACTTATAGTTCCCAGGGATTGTTCCCAGGGTTGCATTTTCATGCTGATAAGATGTTGGTTGCTTCAGTCTGCTGATAAGATGCTGATTGCTTCATTCTGCTGATAAGATGCTGATTGCTGGTCAGGGAATTCACTCAGAAGTCAACTTTGGTTTGAGGCCGATTGTTTGGGCCTTTTCTGTTTCAGTAGGAAGTGGCTTTGCTGCCCATCAGCAAGTTTCCTCTGGCTTTGGATACGATGGATGTCGTGATGAAGATCTTCAGACAGGAGAGGTTACAGAGGAAAAGGTACCTGGGCCCGTAGAGGTCTCTTTCAGCGAGGACGAGGGGAACAATCAGCAAGTTTCCCCCTAAGATCACCAGGCACAAAGCCAGGAGAGTAATTGCCATTAGGTGTTCCTGATGGTAGAGGGAGGAGTAGCCAAAGAGAAGGAACTCTGTGACGGTCGCATGGTTCAACATCTCAGCATCCGAGCTGCAATGAGTGAGGGCAGATGGTCATCATGGGAAAGAGCTTCAGGAGGTTAAAAGAAGATGAGACAGAAGCAAAAGAGTGTAGAAGGATAAGACATTCATACAGAGATTGAAAGGAGAACAAAAGAGAGGAGGGGAGAATTAGCCTAGCGCAAGAAGGCATCATTTATGCACTAAGAGCAAACGTAGTATGGGGGCTAGAGTAGGAATCCACTGTAAACTGTATGTAAGTTCTTGTATTTGAGCTCTTTCCCCAAGAGTCACTTCACAGTCAATGGAGAAAAAATAGGGATTTCTCACTTGTTTTTACTGTAGCTTATTTAAACATGTATTTTAGGCTGATCAAAAATGTATTGTAGTGAAAGGGAAAACACGTCAGTGAAGTGGCTTTAGCTTTTGATTAGGACAGAAACAGGGAGAAGGCGGCATGAAGACGTTGACAAATGCAGAAGTGTGTGGGAAGTAAAGGCAAGCAGGAGAGTTAGAGAAGAGGGAAGATTTATTCCCTGGAAAGGGTTTGATTACCAAGGAACACCAAAGCCCAACAGAGAAAAGAAAAACATGCTGTGTTTAAAATTGTTCTGTTTTTAAGACTGTCTTTCCATCCACGGTTGACCTTTGCCAGGTAGAACAGAAAAATTATAAAGAATCTTCCTCAGTCAGTGACAACTTTCTTGCTGAAAACCAGTCTGATAAAACATTCTCGCTGTCAGAGGGAAAAATAAGAATTAAAAAGCAAAATAGGAGAGGAAACAAGAGGAAAAATCTAAGGGTGCCATTTTTTCAGGAGCCTCAACTTTACCTTCTCATCCCTGAGTGTTACATCCCTGGCCAGCTCTTCTTTGTAAAGATGAAGTCCCACAGGGCACTTCACCTCACAGGTTTCTCAGTCACCCTTATCAGGCAGATGTTCCAAATGTGCTCCAAAACCCGCCTGCATGGCTTGCACCTCACTGTATTGCTTTTAATGCTTGCATGCAGCTGGTTCATCTTGACTGGGGCGTCTCTCACAAGAGAACAGTACGAGGAGTTGCAGGGCACTGCCAATACCCCTCCTGGAGGAACTGTGGCTTCTTGGGGGTCTGGTACTGATAAAGCCGTAGGTCTGGACCCAGAGGGGAAGCAGCCCTTTGGGAGGGAGCTGCAGGAACGCATTTAGCTCTGCCTGGGGATGGACAATGAGTCATCTGGGAGCTGAGGGGTCAACAGGAGAGGGGAGAACATCATGGGCACCACTGCGGTGGGTGGATGTCTGCTACAGATCTCCTGATCAGGAAGAGGAAGTAGATGAGGCCTTCTTCAGACACCTCCTCTCTGCTGACATCCCACCTGATCCGTGCAGCAGTCGAGTCTCATTGCCAGCCCTTCCCACCCTGGGAGCTTGGGAGGTATTGTACAGTAGTCATGCTCTTGTTATTGCTCATCCCCATAGAATACTACCCCAGGAAGAGTCCTGAGCAATGTGAGAGGGACAGGATCTCCCATCCCAGGGGCTGGAGGTGAGCAATTTGCCCTTTCTCTTAACATAACACATCCATGTTCACACAGAATCTCTTCCTTTCAATGGCATTTGTCTACCGGTCATAATTTTCTCCAGTTTTCTGCTCTAACCAGCCCCTTGGGAGCTTTTGTCAATAGCGTCCTCAGTGGGAGCAATTAACAGTGCAGGAAACTTTGGAGTTTGTATCTGATACTGACTCCTTGAGAGGTTTCATCACCTACCTCTCAGTGCCTGAGGTTGCATGGAGTTGGCACCAAACCCTCCTGAGGGGTCATTAAAGTGCCTTGGGCTGTTGCTGTGGTGCTGAGCTGGGCCGGGCTCCTGGGCCGGAGGGAGCTCCTGGCAAGTGGGCAGCGCTGCAGAGAGACAGCTCTGCCCAGGAGCAGCTCCTCTGCAAAGCGCAGCAGGGCTGAGGGCACTGCCTGCAGGCACCCAGGGCAGAGCAGCGAGGCACACACAGCTTCAAGGCAGCCTGGGCTGGGAGGCTGCTGAGAGCTCCGAGGAGGAGAAAGCGTCAGGGCCCTGGCCACAGTAAGTCTGGGGGTGCAGGGCAATGCAGCTGCAGCTCGGGGAGGGATCTGGGGAAGGCGGCAGAGCCGCCAGGAATCTGCCTCCTGCCTAGAGGAGGAGGAGGAGGAGGAGGAGGAGGAGGATCTGCTCCCGAGCAGGGCTTCCCTGGTGCCCCCTGCGAGGGCCAGGGCATGAGGGCTGCCTTCTGGCGGGGCCGGCTGCAGGGGTGTGCAGCCGGGTGTGCAGGCAGGGGTGCCCAGGGCTGTCCTTCCCAGCAGGGTCCCTGCACCCCAGGGGGCTGTGTGCTGGGGCAGGGACTCTGCCGCCTGCCAGGGTCAGCACTCAGCCTGCCCGGGGAGCTCCCCACGGCGCTGTGGGGAGAAGCTGTGGGGGGAAGGAGAGACCCCCGCCAGGGCAGGCTCCTTCTGCTCTCCAGAGGCTGCTGCGTGGATCAGGGATGCTCACAGCTCCAGATCACTCTGAGGTCTTTTGCAGAGGTTCCTTCTGAAGAAGGATATCAAGGCTGCTTTTACTTGAAATGCAAAGACCTTTTCTTTGAGATTTGTTTTTTGGTTGGCTGGGTGGGCATTGCTAGATTTTTTTCTCCACTCTAGTGGAATAACTCAGATCTCAGTTGTCTTTAGGATTCTCAGTCGCTCCTGAGCCCCTGCACCTAGACTGCTGCCCCTGGGCCGTGTCCTGCTGCCAGGAGGGGTCCGCAGGGCAGAGCTGAGCACAGGGCGGGTGGGATGGGGGCTGGCAGCACTGACAGGGAGGAGATAAGGGGACAGAGAAGCGGCTCCAGGCAGGGACAGCTGCAGGAACCAGAGATATGGGCATGAAGGGAGAGGGAGTTGCTGCCAGGAACGCTGTGGGAGGGGGGATTCGGGCACCTCCCTGCCATTCCCTGCAGTGCAGATGCCTTCCATGGAGCAACCCCCTGATCTCCCCCCTGTCCAACACAGCCTCTGCCCTCAAGGTCATGGGGCACCTTCCCAGCGGCCTCACCCTTGAAGAGGAGAAACTACCCAATACCCAACTGCCTGTCCCTTTCTGCCTCCAAGAACACGAGCAGTGTGGTATTTCTTCATTTTCCCCCTCCTGTATCTGCTCCCCTTACTGTCATCCCTGGACTTGCTGGGATGGGGGGTGGTGGGGTTAAGCTGCAGTTTTGAGCCCAACCCTGTGGGTCCTGCTGTGCAGATGTGTCCATGGGAGTAAAGTTTCCTCATAATCTGTGGGTAAAACAAAGGACCCAATTCTCTCTTCAGGACACCTCCATTTTAGGACATTCAACTCTTGCTCTGAGGGGTTCATGCTGGGCTGCAGGTTTCTCTCCAGGTGGGCACAGCTTTCCCAGGACATCTCTGTGTTATCCAGCAGCCCCAGGGAGGAAACACCTCAGTGCTAAGGCCATGGAAATGCTGCTGGGTGTCTGCACACAGGCAGCTGCAATGAGCCCTCTGTGTCCCTGGCTGGGAGGGGAGAGCTGAGATCCTCCTCAGGTGTGATGAGAGGGGCTGAGGGCTTTGGAGAGCTGTGCTTGGAGACTGGATTCCTCTAGTTCCAGCAGTGCCCTGTTTCCATCATCCAGCTCAAAACGGTGCCAGCAAAGGGTCAGATGAGACCAGGGCTGATGGACAGAGCAACTCTCCTCACTCTGAATTTCAGGACAGCCCCTTGGTCTCTCAAAACATACAATGTTTCAGTAGGAGTTCAGCAGAAATGCCATAAATTTCTGCCTTAAAACCACTCCTCATGTGTAGTGGTGCAACAAAAACGGTTTAAAAAATCCAATATCCCCACAGCTATGCCTTGCAGTAAGGTGAATTGGGAGCAAAAACGCTGAACATGAGTGGATTTAATCTGTGATCACACATGTTCCGATTTATCTATGGCTGGCAGGACTGACTCCTCCAGAGCTCACAGTAGAACTGGAGGACTTGGTTAAAAGGGAGAGGCAGTCACTGAGAGATATGAAGTAGGTTTTATCTCAGACAAGTCTACACTAACATTTCAATGTCTTTTCCTCCATGGACAGTGCCCAATGACCAGTGGAAGCAATTTTTCAACAGCAGCTCCATCACCGAGTTCCTCCTCCTGGCATTTGCAGACAGACGGGAGCTGCAGCTCCTGCACTTCTGGCTCTTCCTGGGCATCTACCTGGCTGCCCTCCTGGGCAACGGCCTCATCATCACCGCCATCGCCTGCGACCACCACCTCCACACCCCCATGTACTTCTTCCTCCTCAACCTCTCCCTCCTCGACCTGGGCTCCATCTCCACCACTCTCCCCAAAGCCATGGCCAATGCCCTCTGGGACACCAGGGACATCTCCTACTTGGGATGTGCTGCACAGCTATTTTTCTTTTTCTTCTTGATACAGCAGAGTTTTCTCTTCTCACCATCATGGCCTATGACCGCTACGTTGCCATCTGCCAACCCCTGCACTACGGGACCCTCCTGGGCAGCAGAGCTTGTGTCCACATGGCAGCAGCTGCCTGGGGCACTGGGCTGCTCTATTCTCTCCTGCACACTGCCAACACATTTTCCCTACCCCTCTGCGGAGGCAATGCTGTGGACCAGTTCTTCTGTGAAATCCCCCAGATCCTCAAGCTCTCCTGCTCAGATTCCTACCTCAGGGAAGTTGGGCTCCTTGTGGTTAGTGCCTGTTTAGCATTTGGGTGTTTTGTTTTCATTCTTTTTTCCTATGTGCAGATCTTCAGGGCCGTGCTGAGGATCCCCTCTGAGCAGGGACGGCACAAAGCCTTTTCCACGTGCCTCCCTCACCTGGCCGTGGTCTCCCTGTTTATCAGCACTGCCATCTTTGCCTACCTGAAGCCCCCCTCCATCTCCTCCCCATCTCTGGACCTGGTGGTGTCATTTCTGTACTCGGTGGTGCCTCCAGCAGTGAACCCCCTCATCTACAGCATGAGGAACCAGGAGATCAAAGATGCCCTGAGGGAACTGATAACAGCATGAATTTCTGAAACAATAAATTACCTGTATTTTGTGAATAACTTGAAATGTAACTCATTACAAAGGAGGGCACAGTATGTAGGTTCTGTTGGGGTTTTGGGAGTTGATTTTTTTGTTTGTTTGTTTGTTTTACTTTACATAATATTCTCTACAAAGAAGTGTGATTATTTGTCGCTTTTATAATTTGGCATCTATCAAGATTTGTGTGACTGAGAGACTTTGTAAATGAGGACCCATGCTCTCTTTGTGTTTAAACAAAATAAAGGATACTGCAGCGATATATTTCTCTGAGATCCTTCCTCCAAGCTGTTCTCTGGATCTACTGGGATCAGTGCTTGTGTGCAGAGGTGGAGGGGAAAAACATCTTGGCAGAGCAGTGCTTCCAGGAAGCAAATGCACTTGATCTTTCCTAAGCTGCTGGTTTTAAACTTCCCCTTTCTGCTCCTGAGCCCTTTTATTGGCCTATGATCTGAGTGCTTCTGTGCCGTGGTCACAGTCCCACGATGTGGCAGTTCTGTGACCACAGGCAGGGACAGGCAGTGGGCACTTCTGTGACAGAGCTGGCCTTCAGGACAGTGTTTCCATCAGACAAGGGGATCTCCTCAGGGCAATGCAGGAAGGTTTAGGTCTTCTTCCAGAGTTGCTCTCAAGAGCATACCCAGGAAATTGCCCAGAAGAGAAACCACCAGTGAAGACTGGAAATGTGTGAATGTGCAGGGTGGGGGCACACAGCAGTGTCCTCACACATTCAGGCTCCTGTGAGAGACCTGAAGGCCCAGCAGAGCAGGGGCTGGGCTGTGCCCATGTGCGCTGGGCACCCCGGGGAAGCTGCCCCAGGGCAATCACCACAGACCAGCACATAGCAACCACCATTTCCAGCATGGTCCTCTCACCCCAGCTCAGAGAGGCTGTTTATCTGTCTTCAGAGGGACACAGAAGGATTAGGTCAGAAGTCCAAATTGTCATTGTGTCTCTCTGCTCCATCACCCTTTCTTGGCTGTCTGGCCCCTGCCTTCAAATGCACAGAATGAAAGGAGCTGCCCTGGGGAGCATCTCACCTGCGCAGTCAGAAGGGGTTCTGCAAGCATGAGCGACGCTGCCCTTCAGAAGAAGGCATTTCTCACCTTTCAGAAGGCACAGAGCACATCTAGGGAGTGTGAATGCACTCAGAGGCACACATACCTTCATCTTTCACCTCTCCCAACTTCCTTTACAATTGATTGAAGCAACTAACAGAGAAGCAAAAGTTCTTCCTCGTAGGTACCACCTCTGCTCACAGCAGTGTCAGTGCTGGTTTTGGCACCTTTTGCACGGTGCTGAGTGTTTCCCGCTGGTGGCCACATCCTAAGGTCAGTACCGGGCTGTGTGCCACCCACTTCTCTCTGCAAGATTCCCAAACTGGCAGGTCTGTGCTGAGAAGGCAGCTGCACCCTGGCTAGGGGTATTGATGTCATCTACGGTCATCATCTCATTCCTGTCCCAGATACAGTGCTGTGGCCCCAGTAGAGTGGGCCACCTCTTCTGTGATTTCACTGGAGCTCTCTGTCTTGGTTTGGGCTGAAATAGAGTTAATATTCCTTTTCAGGGACTAGATGAGTGCTGTGTTTTGGATTTAGCTTTGGGTTTGTAATGGGAAAAATGCTGATAGCACACTGATGTTTTCAGCTGCTACCAAGACTTCAAGGACTCTCCGACTCCTCATGTCCTGCCCGTGCGCAAGGGCACAGGAAGCAGGGAGGGAAAACGGACAGAGCATCAGACCCTAAATGGCCAGTGGAATATTCCATATCATGGAATGTCATGCTCACTATTTAAAGGAGGGGTGGTTGGGAAGGAGCTCTCTCACTTACAGGATTGTGATTGCGGGATCTTGGTATCTCGGGGTCGCTGGCCGGGAACGGGATGGATATTGGTTAGCAGGTGGTAAGCAATTACGCTGTACATTGCCTCTTTATATATTTCTTTTTGTTTTCCCCCTATCATGGTCATTGTTCTCATTTTATTGCCATTATTAAACTGTTCTTATCTCAGCCTGTGAGTCTCCCTTCACCCCTCTAATCCCCTCCCCTATTCCCAGGTGGGGAGGGGGAAGGGAGGGTGATTAGCTGCGGTGGTTGGCTGCTGACCAGGCCCAAACCACGACACTCTCCTGCAGTGACACCATGACAGTCCTGCTGTTCGCGGTCACACCCTTCTTCTGAGATCCAGTCCTCACCTTCCTCTGAGGGTAGGCTGAGGGACTTGAGCTTCTTCAGCCTAGTGAAGTGGCGGCTCAGGGCACTGTAGCAGTAGCCTGCAACTGCTTAAAGGGTGGTTTCAGAGATGATGGAGCTTTTCTTGGTAGTGGGAAGAGAAGGAAAGCTCCACAAAGTGCAACTTGGAAAATTCAGTCTGGATGTGAGGGAAGGAAATCTCACTACAAGGGTTGCATTGTGGCATAGGAGGTGCCCAGAAGGACTCTCAAAAAGCCCACAGCACTGTTTTTTCAAGGAGCAGGCCAGCGAGGGTGGAGAGATGTCAGTGAAGGTACAGAAATGCTGGGGTGACAGCTCGGTGGGAAAGCAAGATGGATGTCAAAATCCTGAAGGGAAAAAGGTGCATAAAGGGGACAGTAGAAGGGAGCCTGCAGTAGTGGTGGCCAAGGGCTCTGGAAGGGCTGAAAAGGCCACACAAGAACAAGCTCTTTGTCCCCTTGACTATGGCAGTTGCCTCTGTCACTGAGACCTACCAGGATAAATCTTATTTTGAGGCTCTGGAATTTGTTTCATCCTCTCCCCTTCTTGGGGAAGCTGGGGGGTGTTGTGCAGTTTCCCTACACGTGGCATTGCTCACCCTCACACCCCACTGCCCCCAGGAAGATCCCTGACCCACACGTGAGGGACAAGACCTGCCTTCACAGGGCCTGGGGGTCAGGGCTTGGCCTTTCTGCTTCACAAAACAAAACAAGGGGTTTTTCAGCTTTACAGCCACCTGCACAGTGCCTTTGCCTACCTGCAACCACAGCCTCCAATTATCTGCTCTAACGAGTCCATGGGGAGGCTTTGTCAGTAATGGCCCTCAGTGGGGCCAATCAATGCTTCAAGGTACTTTGGGTTTTCTTCTGACTTTGACTTCTTGAGTATTTTGCTCAGTCTCCTCTCAGTATCTGAGGCTCATGGACTCAGGGCCAAACACACCATGGGGCTCATTAAAATACAGAATGTCCTAACATGCCATGCATTTTCCTGTTATTTTCTTGAAGTCTTCAAGACTTCTACAGCTAATTGAATAAATTTTGCCATGTAGTTAAGGAGGAACATTTCCAAAGATATCTAATAAAAATGATTCTTCATTATAAAGAGCTATTTTATAGTAATTTCACTTTAGAGAAGAGGTGATAACAACATTCTGTTTCTGATATTGATGCAGAATGTCTCCTCGGGAGGTCTGGACAGTCCCTTGGGGTCCAACACAGAATGGACAATCCTTCCTCCTCATTGCCCAGTCTCACCATTTCTCACATTGGCCCCCTGGGACTTGCATCACTTCTCCTTACATCAGCCTTCTCCACTGATCTCTTCAGCTGGATGTTACAGGTCCTTTGCACCAGCTCCCACTGCTGTCCTTAGAGAACTGGCTGCCCACAGGCACAGAAGGGTTTTAGTTCCTTGGAAACAAAGAAATCTAAAGTATGATAAAGCTTCATCAACAGTAAAAACACTTCACAAGCATATGCTAAGTACAAGATATTGCAAATGAGGTTGCCTTCTGCAAGGTCTACTGTCAGGAAAAATACCTTAGGTAGCTAAGTACACAAAGATAGGTATAAACAAAATTAAAGTGTTGACTAAGGAAACAACGAGGCTGTTGAAAGATTTTACTCCCTCGAGTTCAAAACAACAGCACAGGTGAGAGTTTTCTGAAGGAACAAAGAATAAAGGGAAGGAGAAATCTGGAGAATAATGGAAAGGTCCTTTGCCTTGCAGGGTCTGCATCTGAAAAGGTGACATGAGAAATGTTATTGTATCCTGGCCAGGTGCAAATTCATGAAAGATTAGAGAAATTAAGTATGTGGTAAACCAGGCAGGATAGTGGCAATGAAGTTAGACTGGAATATGGATATTTCTTTGGCATATGCCTGTTAAGAGGTCATGGAATTGGTAGAGGCTTCTTGTGGGAGAGGACAAGCCAATGTTGCAGCCATCTTGGAAAGATCCCACAAGGGCCACCCAGGGAACCACAGGCTGTACAAGCTCTCTTTGGTGAGGAGTGTGCCGTCAGTTAGAGTCCTCTTGGGTGACGTTCCTGGGCACCTAAAAGAGAAGAAAATGTCCAAATGCAGTCGGCAGGGACTGTCCAAGGGTAAATCATGCCCCGCCAACCTGATTGCCTGCAGGATGAAGTAACTGTTTTTGTGTGTGACATAAGAACAGTGGATGTCAGGTACCTCCAATGCAGCAAGACATTGGCCATGATCTCCCTCAATATTCTCATACCCACGTTAGGCCATTACAGTCTGGGTGGGTCAACAGACAGAGAGGTGAAACACCAGTTGGAGGCTCAGGCTCAGAGAGCTGTGGTGAAGGGGTCATACCCTACCTGGAGGCCAGTGGGAGATACTGGGGCATTGTGGGGCAGCACAGGGAGCTCTCCTGGGATCTGGGCAATTTAACAACTCTACCAGGAGGCAATTCTGACAGTGTTAGTCAATGACAGTAAATTGAGAGGACCATTCCTGTGCCCTAGGGATGCTATTTAGATGAAACCTGGCATATGAGAGGACGGTCCTGTCAGGAACTTCACAAGACAAAAGAAGGAAAATGTCCAGGTCTAGCCCCTGGGAGAGAGTGACACCCTGTAGTGACGGCAGAAGGTGTCTGCCTGGATGAGGAGCAGCTCTGTAGACAAGTCTGTGGTTTTGCTCAGGTATAGAAAGCAAAACATGATCCAGCAGTGATCAGCCCAATCCAGCATGACCTGGTTGCAAAGGCAGCCAGCAGTGTCCTGGAGTGTTTAAAGAGGAG